AATATAAGCTCCTAGATTTATTTTAGCGCGAGTACATTTGGATTCTTTAAATATTTTGTTGATATTTAATATGATTAAATACATAAAATTTTATGTGTTCTGCAGCTCCGCAGCTCTTATGGTAAAACCGCCACTGCTTATTTACTTAATATTTGCGACAAAAATTGCTGGGACGTCATTGTGTCCAAATAGTCCAGACGGTATCTGTTTCAAAAAGGCCATATTTGGGTGAATCGTATATCCACGGAGATTTTTGGCTTTTTGGCTTTCAAATATCACTAGAAACGAAAATTTTTCTATGCGCATAAAAAAAACGTGGGCTTAACTTTTGGCGGCACAATATCTTTAAAAAATTCGAAAAATGTCATATTTTTCTTCCTATTTAATTATGTATCTTTGCAAGAGTTGATTTTAGGCGAAAATAGAAGAGGAAAAAAATGTTTGTAATTAAATTTTTTACAGAATATGACTAGTTACGAATCGAATGAATTATGATTATTATTGTAAAAATCGAAAAAATCTTCAAATATGGGATTAAAAAACATTACTTTTTAGGGAATTTTTTTGGGGTCTTTAAGTTGGGTATAGGACTTTCATACTTGGCTCAAGAAAACTCTATGTTATGTACCAAATTTCTTCAAAATCGGTTTGATAGATTTTGCATAATAATTTTGCAATTCAGATTTTGAAAAAAATATTGCAAATTTTCAAAATTTTGCACAGCAAAAACCAAGGCTCTTGGACACTTGAAAATTGAATCACATATAGAAGGTCTCTCAAGCGTTCAAACGCTTTTTGAAAAATTCGAATCCGTCAATTAGGAGAGCTCTGGCGGTTGTTTAAACGTTGGTCGAATTTTTGCACTTATAAACAATTAAAATAACTGTGAATATTCAGTCAAATCAATTTTTCAATCAATCAATTTTTTAAAATTGATTTTAAAAGTTCTTGGAAAGACGCTTCTTTAAAAAAAAAAGCAGATCGATTAGTCAATTAGTTACGTAGTTATAGCCGATCAAAGTTAACCGTCATTTACACTAAATGTAGAAAGAGGGACATTCGCGCTAATTTTTCGAAAAATACCTTTGGTATTCCGAGTACTTACCAGGTCAAAGTTTGCAATACTTTTCTTCATTGGAAACCTACTTTAAAACGCGTTTAAAGTTATTTATGCAAACGAGAAAATCAAGGAAATCGTACGGGTGGTGGTGGTGGGATAACCGCGACGCGCTTAAACATTTTTAATATCTCAGCTTCTAGAGGTCCGATTTTGATGATTTTTTTTTTAAATCGATGTCTCGCGATTTAAATAAAACAATTCGCGTATTTTCAAATGCCTATCGTTAATAATTATTGGTCTTTCAACAGTGCGATAATTATTTATCTTTAAACTTCCTTTAATTATGAACTTTAATTTTTTATTACATCAAAGGTAAGTGCATAAACTTATATACTGTTTATCAAAGATCAAAAACAAATTTATTTAAATATTCTAAAATTGTTTAAACAACAATTATTTTCAAAATATGTCAAAAATTAGTAATATGAGTTCATTTCTCATTTGCTTATATTTTAAACAATAAATAATATTTGAATTATACTTTAATCACAAAAGAAATGATGATTAAATTAATAATTAATTAATTAATTAATTACTAATTTTCGACATATTTTGAAAATAATTGTTGTTTAAACAATTTTAGAATATTTAAATAAATTTGTTTTTGATCTTTGATAAACAGTATATAAGTTTATGCACTTACCTTTGATACAATAAAAAAATAAAGTTGATAATTAAAGGAAGTTTAAAGATAAATAATTATCGGACTGTTGAAAGACCAATAATTATTAACGATAGGCATTTGAAAATACGCTAATTGTTTTTT